AGAAGGAGAGAGAAAGAAGGAGAGAGAAAGAAGGAGAGAGAAAGAAGGAGAGAGAAAGAAGAGAGAGAAAGAAGAAGAGAGAGAGAAGGAAAGAAAGAAAAAGAGAAAGAAAGAGAAAGAAAGAGAGATAGAAAGAAAGTGAGTGAGAAAGAGAAAGAAAGAGATAGAAAGAAAGTGAGTGAGAGAGAGAGAGAAGGAGAGAGAGAGAAGGAGAGAGAGAAGGAGAGAGAGAGAGAGAAGGAGAGAGAGAGAGAGAAGGAGAGAGAGAAAAAAGAAAGAGAGAGAGAGAAAAAAGAAAGAAAGAGAGAGAGAGAGTGAGTGAGAGAGAGGGGGGGGGGAGAGAGAGAGGGGGAGAGGGAGAGAGGGAAAAAGAAAGAGAGGGGAGAGAGAGAGAGAGAGAGAGAGACAGAGAGGTGAAAGGTTTAGGAATGGAACTCCAAAGCCTAACGACTCAACAGCTGAATGCATGGCACCAAGAGTGCAGGGACTAAAACCAGGAATATGCAAGAGCCCAGGATTGGGAAGGGGTTTGAGGGTTAGAGAGTTCAGAGGGTAATAAAACAGAAGAGGGATGGGCCATGAAATAATCGAAAAACAAAGATGCGAGCTTTTCACATTGACACCATGATGAACTGGGAACCAGCGTACATCACTGAAGCAGTGCCATTCCCCAAGTTTGAACTTGTACAGTATATTTGTCCTTTTGAAAGTTTCAGTGTGGTATTTCGACAGCTCAGCTGATTATTTTTCAGCATTTTGTGATTAAAGTGGATAATGTGCACCGTAGCCACCTGACCCATGGCCACCATCCTGAACTCCTGGGGACCACAGTGCAAAAGCTTCAGCAAGGACTTGATTGTGTGGGGGCATTCGGTGGGATTTTTGACGATCTGTTCTCTGACGTCAAAGGTTTCCCTTGTATCAGATCCTTGAAGAGCCGTTTACGAGTTAAATAAAGCAAAACTCCAATCCCCAGAAAACTTGCTAGAGGGACACAGAGACCGAGAATGACAGCTCCCTGGTCAGGCTTCACTGTAACTGCAAACAGAAAGAATTAATTTACCAAACATCACAGTGTAACTGGAAAATCACTTCATAACTCACTCACAAAAGGAGTTCTGGAGAAAGGTTATCCAACTGATACATTAACTGTATTTCCCAGTCTACAAATGCTGACTGTGAAAAATTTCCAGTGTTTCTTTCAGATTTCCACCATTTTTCTGGATCCGAAATGCATTAGGAACAATTCAATATGTTATCTCCAGCTGCATTAGCAGGCCACACTTTGGAAATATTTTGTTGGCTGTAAACCGTTTTGGGATGTCCAAAGGTCGTAATGGACACCATCAAAATGCAAGTTCTCTCCTTCTACTTTTTATCTTTTCTCTACATGGTCAGCTCGAGGGAACTTTCCAAATCTCTCACTCTGCTCTTTCGTCTCTCTCTAATCCCTATTGACATTGTGATCCAGTGTATTCATACAATCCCTACAGTGCAGAAAGAGGCCATTTGGCCCATTGAGACCATACCGACCATCTGAAGAGCAGCCCACCCAGACCCAAACTCTGCATTTCCCATGGCTGATCCACTCAACCGGCATATCCCTGGATACTATGGGGTAATTTCTCATGGCCAATCCACCCTAACCTGCACATGTTTGGACTGTGGGGGAAAAAAACAGAGCACCTGGAGGAAACCCACGCAGACAACATGCAAATTCCACACAGACAGTTGCCCGAGGCTGGAATCAAACCTAGGTCTCTGGCGCTGTGAGTCAGCAGTGCTAACTTCTGAGCCACAGCACCCTATAGTCTTTTACATAAATGAATTGCTTCCCCACATGTTTAAAACTGTAAATGATCCCGCCCCCCACCCCTCGCCACAGTCCACAGACTCACCAACAAACAAGATACATGCAAAGGCCACTTGGCCCTTTGAGCCTGCTCCCCCGTTTAATAAGATCACGGCTGATCTGATTTTAACATCAAATCTACATTCCTGCACATTCCTGATAATTGAGGGGTTGTAAAATCCTGCCTTCACATCTGTTGATCTTAAACGATTTGTTAACCTGAACTTATCTCCTATTCTGTGACCCAGCTGACTTTATTACACACAAGATCTCATCCACCATTCGATTCTTATTGGCTGTCTTGAAAGAAGCAATTAGAATATAATTAAAAAGTGTACGAAAGACAAGTCTTCAGCCTTGTTTCACCCAGTCTCCTTGATCAACCATGATCATATTAATTGAGATTTTTATTATTACTCAAGTACAGAAGTAGAGTGAAAAGTGTTGCCACACACTGCGACATCTTTGGCACAACTACCTAGGTAAAAAAAAACTCAGGTACAAAGTAGTAAAAGAAGCAAAGTAAATAAAAAAAAGGTTAAATGGGATCTGTTCAGTTATCGGACCCTCCTGGTGCCTCAAATGCATGTAAATATAGTCTGGCTCAAATAAGAGATGCCTTTGGTTTGTTTGGATAGAGTCAAACACCATGGTTTGTGTAAAACCGAAAGAACTGCGGATGCTGTAAATCAGAAACAAAAACAAAGTTGCTGGAAAAGCTCAGCAGGTCTGGCAGCATCTGTGAAGGAGAAAACAGAGTTAACGTTTCGGGTCTGGTGACCGTTCCTTGAAGACGAAACATTAACTCTGTTTTTTCCTTCACAAATGCTGTCAGACCTGCTGAGCTTTTCCAGCAACTTTGTTTTTGTTCTATTGTTTGTTTGTTTCCTTGATATGCTGCAGTGCAGAACTGAGCTGTATTTGTGACTATATATATGAAAAGTGCATTTTTGAAATAAAAAAACAAAGTTAATAAAATTAAGGTGAAGTAGAAAAATAAAGAAATAAGGGCTGAACAGCCTACCCCGTTCCTATTTTCCCTGTTTCTATGTCTCAGTGGAATAACATTCAAAAGGAAACTGTATAAACATCCGAAAAGATAAAATATTTTCAGGGTTCTGTGGAAAAGCAGAGGTAGTCAGACTAATGGAGTAGCTCTTTTAAAATAGCCAGAACAGGCAAGATGGGCCGAACAGCCTCATCATATGCCAATTTGCCTCTGTCCAGTCTCTTTCTCAGGACGGTGAGAGCTCCCTAGCTGTGTGCTGTCCTCTCTCTGGGCCCTGCGATGACAAAGCCTCTCTCTCTAACCTCAGAGTGAACATACTCACATTGGACATTGAGCTGAGCCTCCAGCCTCACTGCTCCCAGTGGATTCTCCACGATGCACTCATAAAGCCCGTGATCGTCAGGGCTCAGGGAATCGATTCTCAGCTCCGACTTTCCCCGGGAGTTGGAAATATTCCACTTCGGCTGCTCGCTCCCGGTCTCTCTCCTCCTCCATGTGATGTTGGCTTCGGGGTTAGCATCTCCCAGGCAGGTTAATGCCAGTGTCGCCCTCTCTCTGACACTGTCCCCTCCATCGATGGAGACGTTCCGAGGACCATCTGGTAATCAGAGAACAGACATCAGCTCCTACGAAAACTGCAGGCCCCATCTCCTCACGTCCCAGCAACTCCCTCCCACCCTCAGCCCTGTGCACTCACTGACCCACACTGTCTCTCAGTACAACAGCCTTCTGTTCCAAGCCTTCCATGACTCTTCCCTCATAGAATCATCACATCGTAGTCATTGACAGAACCATTCAGGGAGGAATTAGACAGTTATCTGGGAAGGAGGATGGACAGGGTAATGGGAAGAAGGTGGGAAAATGGCATTCACTTGGATATCTGGCATTGACACAATGGGCCAAATGGTGTCATTCTACACTGTCCTGATCCTTTGGCTCCAATCTAATCCCACTTTCCAGTCCATGGTGCTGATGAGTACAGGGATTTGAGTGCAAGTACAGCTATGCAGGCGTGGTGGCTCAGTGTTAGCACTGCTGCCTCACAGTGCCAGGAACCTGGGTTTGATTCCATCCTTGGGCACCTGCCTGTATGGAGTTTATATTTTCTCCCCATGTCTGCATGGGTTTCCTCCAGGTGCTCCGGTTTCCTACCACAGTCCAAAGACATGCAGGCTAGGTGTATTGGCTATGGGAGTTACAGTACAGGGATAGGCAAAGGGAGTGGGTCTGGGTGGGATGCTCTTGAGTGGGTTGGTGTGACTCAATGGGCTGAATGGCCTGCTTCCACACTGTAGGGATTCTGTGATTTATTAAATACTGATGAGGGATTTTTACATTGAGCACCTTTTCAGGCAGCGAGTTCCTCAGATCTTCATAAAATCTAGGAGCAGAAGTAGGCCATTCAGCCCATCAAGTCTCCCTGCCATTCAGCGAGATAATTTCTGATCTGATAGCCCTCAACTCCACTTTCTTGTCTTTTCCCCATATCCCTCGATTTCCTTTTTGATTAAAAATCCGTTCCTAACTTAGCCTTGAATATACTTAATGATCCAGCCTCGACAGCCATCTGAGGTAAAGAACTCTTGACAGGTAATAAATCTGTGGAGAAAAAAAAACCCATCTCTATCCTAATTGAGCAACTCCTTGCATTTCACCACACCTACCAGGTAGATTATAATTTTGTATACCCCAAATAAATCTCCTGTTCCAAAGGAAACAACCCCATTCTTTTTATAACTGATATGCTTGAAGGAATTAACAGTATTGAGATGAAAAAGGTATTAGCTGTTTGAGCAGCTTGGAGAATGGATACATCTCCAGGCCCAGATGATATATATATATCCCAAACTGCCATGGGAGGGGAGGGAGGAGAGTGCAGGGGCCCTAACATCAATTTTTAATTTCTCTCTGGCCAACAGCTAAAGTCAAATCATTATTCAAAAGGTGGCAGGGATAAACCAGGAAACTACAGGCCAGTGAGTCTGAGGGACAGAATTAATCTTCACTTGGAGAGAGGCAAGGCTTAATCTAGGATAGTCAGCCTGGCTTTGCCCGAGGGAGAGTTCACGTCTAATGAATTCGATTGAGTTTTTTGAGGAGGTGACGAGGTGTGTGAATGCGGGTAGGGCAGTGACGGAGTCTAGAGCCAGGCTTTTGGTATGGTTTTGACACAGCAGGCAGGTTAAGAAGCTACGAGCCTATGGGACCCAGGGCAATTTGGTTTCAAAATTGGTTTAGCGGCAGTCAAAGGTTCTTTTTGTGAGTAGGAGCCTGTGCTCAGTGGCACATTGCAGCTTTGGTACTGGGTCCTTGGTGTTTGTAGTGCAAATTCATAAATGTAAGGAGGTGCACAGATGACAGGAAAATTGATGGCGTGGTAAACAGTGAAGAGGAAAACCTTATACTACAGGAGGATATAGATGGGCTGATCAGAACAGTCGGAAATAGAATTTAATTTAATTTTGAAAAGAGTGAGGTGATAGAATTTTGGGACGACTAACAAGGCAAGGGATTACACAATGAGTGGTAGATCCCCAGGAAGTACAAAGGATCAGGGGAACTTTGCACATTCACAGATCTTTGAAGTTAGTGGGACAGATAGGTATGGGAGCAGGAGGCATATGGGGTACTTACCTTTATTTGTCGAGATGTTGAATAAAAGAGCAGGAATGGTACACCAGAGCTGTTTGAAATGATAGTTATGTCACAGCTGGAGTACAGTGTGCAGTTCTGGTCCCCACACTGCAGGAAACAGTGTGATAGCACAGGAGGGGGCTGCAGAGGAGATTCACCAGGATGTTGCCTGGGATGGAGTGTTTCAGCAATGATAAGAGGCTGGATAAGCTGGGGGTGTTTTCTTTAGAGCAGAGAACGCTGAGGGGTGGGACCTGTACAAAGTGAGGAGGGGATTGGTAGGATACATCCGAAGAAACCTTTCCCCATTGTCGGGCCGTCAATAACCAGGGGCATGGATTTAAGGAGTGCCACGGGGGGGGTGTGTTGGTCAGAGGGCATTTGAGGAGAAGCTTGAAAGGTTGGTAGAGTCAGGAACGATCAATACATTGAAGTATTTAGATGGACATTTCAAACACCATAGAATGCACCTCTCCTATTTCTGTGTTGATCTTTCTCTGCACCTTCTCTGTAGCTGCAACACTATATTCTGCATTCTGTTCTATTACCCTGATGTACTTAAATGAGATATGGCTTGTCTGGATCGCACACAAAACAATATTCACTGTATCTCAGTATGTGACAATAACGAATCAAATCAAAGCAGGCTGAAGAATGGGATTAGAATGGATCGGTGCTTGATGACCAGCATAGCACAATGGCTGAATGGCCTTTCTCCGTGCTGTAATACCCTGGGGCTTTAAGAACACACTGTATGGTCTTATGGAGTGAATGAGCATAAGGAACAGGAGTAGGCTATTCAGCCCCTTGGACCTGCTCCACCATTCCATATGATCATGGCTGATCTGACATTCCTCACATCCACTTTCCTGCCCTTTCCCTGTAACCCTCGATTCCCCGACTGATCGAGAATGTAACTCAGCCTCAGATATACACAAGGACTCTGTCCCAACAGCTCTCTGTGGCAAGGAGTTTCAAAGACTCTCAATCCTCCGAGAGAAGAAATTCCTCCTCATCTCAATCTTAAATTGGTGCCCCTTTATTCTGAGACTGTGCCCTCTGGTCCCAGATTCTCCCATGAGGGGAAACATCCTCTCAGCATTTACTCTGTCTAGCCCCTTAAAAATCCCATATCTTTCAATGGGATCACCTCTCGTTCTTCTAAACTCCAGTGAGTACAGTCCCAATCTGTTCAGCCTTTTTTCAGAAGGCAGTCCCTCCTCATAAGACAATGAAATAATATGCAGATCCACTTCCCATCCACACCACATTCATTCCACAGGGGCAGCACGGTGGTTCAGCGGTTAGCATTGCTGCCTCACAGCACCAGGGACCTTGGTTTGATTCCAGCCTCAGGCAACTGTCTGTGTTGAGTTAATATGTTCTCCCTGTATCTGTGCAGGTTTCTTCTGGGTGCTCTGGCTTCCTCCCACAGTGCAAAGAAGTGCAGCTTGGGAGGAGAGATAGTAGGAACTGCCGAAGTTGGAGAATCTGAGATAACAAGGTGTAGAGCTGGATGAACACAGCAGGCCAAGCAGCATCAGAGGAGCAGGAAGGCTGACGTTTCGGGCCTAGACCCTTCTTCAGAAAATGAAAAAGGGTGTACGCCCGAAACGTCAGCTTTGGCCTGCTGTGTTCATCCAGCTCTACACCTTGTTACCTCAGCTTGGGTGGATTGGCCGTGGGAAATGCAGGGTTACAGGAATGGGGTGGGTCTGGGCAGACTGCTCTTCAGAGGGTCGGTGCGGACCTGATGGGCTGAATGGCCTTCTTCCACACTAAGGATTTCTATGAAATGCACACCGCATCCTCATTCATTCTAGATCCACTTCTCACTCAGTTTAGATCAATTCCACAGCCTGATGCCGCTCTCAGTCTCCTGAAGGTTCAGCTCAATCAGCCATTAGCATCTGCTGAAGAACAGCCCCACCTGGTGATAGAAACAGGAAATGGCTGGCATTGCTCAGCAAACTCAACAGCGAAGCTGGTCGAGGAGACATTCATGATCCTGGGTTAAGACTGAGTCAGTAACAAGGAACTGTTCCAGGGCCATGAGGGCTGGTATCGATAGGGACACAGTTTCAGGAGGGTCAGTAGGGGAATTCGAACAGGAGATGGGGAGACTATTTTTATGCAGCGAATTGGCGTGGTCTGGATCACACTGCCTGAAGAGAGTCTGGAAGCAGTTTTCAATTGTAGTTTTCAAAAGGAATTGAATAAATAATCAAACATTTAAATATACAGGCTTTTGAGGAATGAGCTGAAAGTGTGACACTAACTTGACATCAAAGAGCCAGAACAGGCACTATGGGCTGAATGGCCTCCTTCTATAAAGATCACAAGAAATTGGAACAGAAGGCCATTCAGCCTCTCGAACCTGCTCTGCCATTGAGTAGGATCCTGGCTGAGCTGACATTCCTCAAGTCCACTTTCCTGCCCTTTCCTCACAGCCATCGATTTCTGACTGATCAGAAATCTATCGATCTCAGCCTCAAATATACACAAGGACTCTGTCCCCACAACTCTCTGTGGCAAGGGGTTCCAAGGACAACTCTCTGGCAGAAGAAATTCCTCCTCATCTCAGCCATAAATTGATGCCCTTTTATTCTGAGACTATGCTCTTGGGTCTCAGACTCAGAGGAGAAACATCCTCTCAGCATTGACCCTGTCAAGCCCCTTAAGAATCCGATGTGTCTTAATGAGATCACCTCTCATTCTTCTCAGCTCCTGTGAGTAGAGTCCCAACCTGTTTAGCCTTTGCTCATAGGAATCCCTCCACACCAGGGACCATCCTAGTGAACACTCTCCAAACTGCCTCCAATGAAATAAAATCTCTCCTTGTATAAAGGGCCAAACTGGTCACAGTACTCCAGATTCTGTGCTGATTTGCCTCTGTCCAGTCTCTTTCTCAGGACGGTGAGAGCTCCCTAGCTGTGTGCTGTCCTCTCTCTGGGCCCTGCGATGATGAAGCCTCTCTCCCTAAGCTCAGAGTGAACATACTCACATTGGACATTGAGCTGAGCCTCCAGTCTCACTGCTCCCAGTGGATTCTCCACGATGCACTCATAAAGCCCGTGATCGTCAGGGCTCAGGGAATCGATTCTCAGCTCCGACTTTCCCTGGGAGTTGGAAATAATCCACTTCGGCTGCTCACTCCCGGTCTCTCTCCTCCTCCATGTGATGTTGGCTTCGGGGTTAGCATCTCCCAGGCAGGTTAATGCCAGTGTCTCCCTCTCCCTGGCACTGCCCCCTCCCTCGATGGAGACGTTCCGAGGACAATCTGATAATCAGAGAACAGACGTCAGCTCCTCCGAAAACTGCAGGCCCTCAGCCGCCAACCAACCCAAAACCCAAACACAAATACCCCTCACCCACCCCCACAACCCTCCACTCATTTCTGTTCTTCATTCCCACATGATTGAATATATCAAAGGGAAAACTTGCATTTATACATCGCCTTTCAGTGTCAGATTTTGCAAAAGCACAAGGTTGAGAGGGTGCAGAAAAGATTTACAAGGATGTTGCCGGGTTTGGAGGGTTTCAGCAATAGGGAGAGGCTGAATAGAATTAGAATTCTTACAGTGTGGAAACGGGCCCTTCGGCCCAACAAGTCCACACCGAACCTCAGAGCATCCCACCCAGATCCATCCCCCCATGACCCATCACCTCCCTGAACACTACAGGCAATTTAGCATGGCCAATCCACCTAACCTGCACATCTTTGGACTGTGGGAGGAAACCGGAGCACCCGGAGAAAACCCATGCAGACACGGGGAGAATGTGCAAACTCCACACAGACAGTCGCCCGAGGCTGGAATCGAACCCAGGTCCCTGGCGCTGTGAGGCAGCAGTGCTAACCACTGTGCCACCGTATTTTCCCTGGACTATTAGAAACTGAGGTATGACCTTGATGAGGTTTATAAAATCATGAGGGGCATGTCTGGAATTAAGGGTCTATTGATGACCATGAATCTATTGTTGATTGTTGGAAAAACCCAACTGGTTCACTAATGTCCTTTAGGGAAGGAAACTGCCATCCTTACCTAGTCTGGCCTACATGTGACTCCAGACCCACAGCAATGTGGTTGACTCCCAACTGCCCTCTGGTCAATTAGGGATGGGCAATAAATTCTGCCTGGCCAGCGACACCCGCGTCCCGTTAATGAATAAAGAATAAAGAACAACCAAGGTCTTTTCCCTGGGCTGGGGTGGCCAAAACTAGAGAGCATAAGTTTAAGAGAGGGGAAAGATTTAAAAGCGACCCGAGGGGAAATATTTTCACACAGAGGGTGGTGCGTGTATGGAATGAGCTGCCAGAGGAAGTGGTGGAAGCTGGTACAATTACAACATTTAAAAGGCATCTGGATGGGTATGTGAATAGGAAGGGATTAGAGGGATATGGGCCAAATGCTGGCATATGGGACTAGAGTAAATGTAGGATAAATAACCAGTGCAGATGGACCTAAGGGTGTGCTTCCATGCTGTATAATTCTGTGGCTGCATGTGTAGTGACTGTTATAGAAAATTAGCTGTCAAATTATTTGAGACGGGTGAGTGGGGAAAGCTATTGGACTGCATGGGGCCGTTGATAATGGGAGAGCTGGTGATGAAATCCGGAGGGCTGCACTTCATGGACCGGAGGGTGTAACCCCCACTCCCCCTGCTCTCCAATGGTGGGGGTGTGGAGACCCAGGAGAGGGTCACGAAGCATCCCCTCCCCTGAGACTGCACCCTGCTGCACGGAGGTGGGGGGTATCTCTCAGCCCGACATGAAGGGTTGGGAGGGTCATTTTCATTTTCATCTCGTGTTAAGGCCACGGCCTCCAAACCACAAGCAGCTGGTGCCACATCTGCACTGGGATGGGGTGGCACCTCCCTCGCATTGGGCTGGGTTAACGGGGCGGCCCCCCCTGGGGGGGGGGGGGGGGGGGGAGGGGGTTCAACACGTAGCAGGAGAAATGCACAGCTGCCATGGGCCAGTAAGCAAGAGGAGAGGGGCCTCACTGACTGACTCTGGGGTACGTGCATTGTAACTTTCAGACTAAAAGTTTAACACGGTGGGGGTGGGGAGATTTTGAAGCTAGTAAAGTCCACATTGAGACCATCGGGTTGTAGGCTCCCCAGGGGGATTATGAGGTGCTGCTCCCCCAGTTTGCGGGTGGTGTCATTGTGACACTGGAGGCGGCCCAGGATGGACATGTCACCCAGGGAGTGGGAGGGGGAGTTAAAGTGGTTCGTGATCGGAGGGTGTTGTCGTTTGTTGCAAACAGAGTGTAGGTGTTCCACAAAGCGGTCTCCGAGCCTCCGCTTGGTCTCCCTGATGTAGAGGGGGCCTCCCAACCCCCGGCTTCATCCCATGTCCAACCCTCCCTCGCTTCCCACCTCCTTGACCTGACATAACCTGTCCATCTTCTCTCCCAGCTATCCGCTCCCCCCATCTCACTGGCCAATCCCCGCCACTGCCTACCTGCACTCACCTATCACCATCCCACCTACCTGCCCCAGCCCCACCCTCCTCTTTCTATTTATTTCTGAGCTCCCTTCCCCCTCCCCCATTTCTGAAGGAGGGTCCTGACCCAAAACATCAGCTTTCCTGGTCCTCTGATACTGCCTGGCCTGCTGTGTTCCTGCAGCTCCACACTATGTTATCTCTTAGTACATGTGACACATTATAATAACTTTAATAATTACGCTGATCTGTTACAGTGGCTGCTTTATTGCTGTTTAGTTTTTTTTGGTGTTTGGGGTCAGTTTGAAAAATAATACAGGAAGCCTCACTACAGGGATACGTTCACAACAATGTGGGTGACTCCAAATGAGCATTTGAGGCACATTCTGTAAAGAGACTCCATGCTCAATCCCAGACTGTTGCTTCAGTTTCAAGAAAGACTTTTTGCCTCCAGAAAACACCTGGCCCTTTGCTTCAGCGATGGAGCTCATTTATTTTGTGGCAGCTCTAAGCTCAGAGTGAACATACTCACATTGGACATTGAGCTGAGCCTCCAGCCTCACTGCTCCCAGTGGATTCTCCACAATGCACTCATAAAGCCCGTGATCGTCAGGGCTCAGGGAATCGATTCTCAGCTCCGACTTTCCCCGGGAGTTGGAAATATTCCACCTCAGCTGCTCGCTCCCGGTCTCTCTCCTCCTCCATGTGATGTTGGCTTCAGGGTTAGCATCTCCCAGGCAGGTTAATGCCAGTGTCTCCCTCTCCCTCACACTGCCCCCTCCATCGATGGAGACGTTCCGAGGACCATCTGGTAATCAGAGAACAGACATCAGCTCCTCCGAGGTTTGCAGGCCCCATCGCCTCACCTCCCAGCAACTCCTTCCCACCCTCAGCCCTGACCCACACTGTCTCCTCATCATAGAATCCCTACAGTGCAGATAAAGGCCATTCGCACCGACAGATCCCACCCCATCCCTGTAAATCCACATTTACTGTAGTTAACCCACTTAACCTGCACACCTACAGGGCAATTTAGCGTGGCCAGTCCACCCTAACCTGCACATCTTTGGACTGTGGGAGGAAACCCCACACAGACATGGGGAGAATGTGCAAACTCCACACAGACGGTCACCCGAGGCTGGAATCGACCCCGAGTCCCTGGTGCTGTGAGACAGCCGTGCTAACCACTGAGCCACCGTGCCCACCGTCTCCACTTCTCCCTTAACCACCCATAAACACGAATCTTCAGTCACTGTATGGTCTAGGAGCTGCCAACCCTCCAGAAATTAAAGAATAATCTTTAAAAGACTGTAAGAGACAGTGTTTATTAAAGGAAGTTAGAATTTGTATAGCACCTTTCATGACAATGTGAGATTCCAAACCACTTCACAATCAATTAAGTACTTTCGATGTGCAGTCACTGCTTCAATGCAGGAAATTACTTTTAAAACTATCTCGGGTAAAGTATTGCGAAGGGCTGTGACTGGGTAAGATAGTAGGTTTTGGGATATTTCAAGCGGAGTTGGCAACTCCAGGGAAGTGTTTGGGAGCAGTCAATAAACGGGTCTCTTGGTGTTTGTTTCTGCTCTGTGAGCTGCAAAAGGGAATCTCTTGTCCCGGGAATCTGTGACGGAAATAACTCCAATTCCAGTTCCACCAGTGTTCTCTCCTTTTCGGGAAAATCCCCGTTTCCCATTGAAAGGCAATGACTGATAGCATATTTGCAACGTGGCACCCTTTTGAAGAGTGCTAATGGGATCAACATTGAGTGGTGGGGTGGGGGGTTTGCAGGTTCTCTTTCACACTGGAGACTGCAGCTGCACACAGTAATTAGAGGGAGGGGGTGGGTAGGTTTGCAATACAGTGTGACACCAACAGTGTGGGTTCAAATTCTCACACTGGCTGAAGTTACTAGGAAGGTTCCTACATCTCCCCTCGCCTGAGATGAGGTAACCAACAGTTGGGTTAAACGACCCACCAGTTGTCTCTCTCTCTCCCCCTTTCTCTCTAATGACAGACTAACACCATGGCAACTTAGAATTCGTTCGCAACAGAAAGTTACAAAACTAATTGGAGGAAATAATCGAAGGAGGTCACCTTCCCAGGGTTGTTAGGAAAGAACAGGGCAGTGGGACTAATTGAGCAGCTCCAGCAAAGACATGATGGGCCGAATGGCCTGCACAGCATTTTCTGGAAGGTTAAAAGCACTCACACCAAACTTCTACTGAGCTCTGACGTTGCGTGTGGCTTTCTCCATCGCTGATTTCACAGATGTAAATTCCTCTGTCTTCAGGTTCCAGCTTTTCCATGTAGAGTGTTGAATATCTGGTTTCCTGGCTGATGTTCCAGTGGGAAGGAGCCGTGCTACCTGTGCCAGCTTTCCTCCAGGTGATTGTAGGGACATTGCTACTGTCTGCACCACATGACAGGGACAGAGGCCTCCCAGCACGTTCCACCGTGTCAGCTGGTTCAATCCAGACATTGTAAAGTCCAGCTGTATTTAACACAGAGACAATTTCAACAGGAGACACAGTTTTAAAAATAAAATTGAAGGAAAATAAAACAAGTTCACAGAGGAACTCAATATGAAATGTAGCAGGAGGCCATGGAAAAGTGAGAAAGTCTCATAAACCCCACCTTTAATGTCCTCCCTCCAGCAGGAATCCTTTAGCAAATTGCCTGATTTAATCAGGCAGTCTAACTCTAAGGGACACCTTTTAAAGAAGGATTTTCACAACAGGGGGTTCCCTATTAGGGGAACTGTCTCATTATAAGGGACCCCCTTTAAAGAGGGTCTCAGTTTTACTGTTTCAGCAACAAAAGGATTCCCATCACTACCTTCCCAAGGACATTGAACGCAACATGAAAATTTCCTCTGCATTCTCTTTAGGATTATCCTTCAACAACTCAGCTTAAAAACCTGGGTTTACGTATTAGATTTGCAAATGGCATGGAATTAGACCATTCAGCCCAACATCCCATGCTGGATCTAGACAAGCCTCCTCCCATTTCATCAGCTTCCGACACCAGACCGATTCTTGGGATGGCAGGACTGTCATGTGACGAGAGATCGGATTGGTTAGGATTATATTCACTGGAGTTTAGAAGAGTGAAGTCGTTGGGGGAGTGTCTCATAGACACCCTTAAAATTCTAACAGGACAAGACTAAACACAGGAAGGATGTTCCCAAAGACTGGGGAGTCCAGAACCAGGGTCACAGTTTAAGGATACAGGGTAGGTCACCTAGGACTGAGAGGAGGAGAAATGTCTTCACCCAGAGAGTGGTGAGCCTGTGGAATTCTCTGCCACAGAACACATTGTATTATTTCAAGAAGGAATATGATATAGTTCTTAAGGCTAAAGGGATCAAAGGGAATGGGGAGAAAACAGGAACAGGGGATTGAGTTGGATGATCAGCCATGGTCATATTGAATGATGGAGCAGGCTCAAAGGGCTGAATGGCCTGCTCCTGTTCCAATGTTCTATGTTCCCTATTTCAGCTTTTCAGAATATTTTCCTAATCATTTTTTATTTCATTATCAAATCAATTTTGAGATCAATTTCTTATTTCCCTGTTGGACTTATCACTAACTTTCTAGTAACATATGGCCCTTTTTGTTCTGCAGGTTAAAAGTGGCCCTGACGACCAGCTGCACACAGTAATTAGAGGGAGGGGGTGGGTAGGTTTGCAATACAGTGTGACACCAACAGTGTGGGCTCAAATTCTCACAGTGGCTGAAGTTACTAGGAAGGTTCCTACATCTCCCCTTGCCTGAGATGAGGTAACCAACACTTGGGTTAAACGACCCACCAGTTGTCTCTCTCTCTCCCCCTTTCTCTCTGACTCACTGTTCAGGAAGATCTCCAGTGTGCCGTTCTTGCTTCGGAATCCTGCTGTGGATAGACCCAGGCGAATCTCACAGGTGAAGATGATGGCTCTGTCCTCGCTGGTTGTTGTGTAGTTTTGATGAGAAACTGTGTGACACAGGTGGTCATACCTCCATACTGCTGGCTTCTCAGCAGAGAGGAGCTCATGGTTGCGATACCATAAAACTTCGACCTTGTGGCAGGGGTAAAGATTTTGTGCGGAACACCTAAGGGTCACTGTTTGTCCAGCCACTGGATTAAATG